ATATATTAAATATTTTTTCATAATCACAAGTTAGTTTCCTCTTTTCTTAATAATTTTCCTAACTCATTCAAGCTTAAAGTACTTTAAGGAAGAGAGAGAGAACAACTGTAGTCTATGTCTACTTCTCCATATTCAGTATCGTCTTTTAACAAACATAGTTCCACAGATCACATGATAAATGGTGTACTATTATGCATCATAAAGTGTTTGACGGAAAAGTGGTTGTTATCTGTAAACAAATAGATTCATCTACATTCCCACCAATCAGAAAAACAATCGAAGAGACATTGTGTCCAGTGTGAAACCAGTTCGGTGTTCATCTATGTTGAAAGAGATGGTAGACAACCATAAAAACCCTGAATCCACCCAAATTCACAGGTCAATGACAATGCATCTAATGATCAGAAGCAAGTCAGTAAGGTAGTATACTGTAGTGTTGACTATAGCGACTTATCAGACTAACTGTACCTAGATTACTTTGACTTAAACTGGACACAAGATCTCAGGTACTCATCTAAAAAAAACTGAGAATTGTTGGCAAGCAGAACCAAAATAAAATAACAGCACTGCTTGCTCAGAAAAGAGCCTAAGTGAACTTGATTTATTGAAGTTGACAAATTGACACAACCATTTCATTGTTAAAAGTTCCATGGCAATGCTTAAATCTAAACAACTGGTTTAGGTGAACTTAAAGCATTTTCAGAAATTCCATATCTAAAAGTATGGGGAATATTTCTGCAAATAATTATCAGTCTCTTGGTCAGAATCCAATGCTCCATATTTCCAACTTCTGTTAGCTCACGATATATAGCGCTAACCGCCGCCCAATGTCAACGCTGAGTATCTGTAACGCGCTGGCCGCGGAACCTGAAGGTCTCGGGTTCGATCCCTGCTGGTGGGGTCGTGGGTGCGCACTGCTGAGTCCCATACTACTAGGACGAAACAGCTGTCCAGTGCTCCCAGGTTTCCTTTGTTCCTCCAACTGATGTCAGTCTTCAATGAATAACAACTTGAAATATTTCCAAATCTCCACAACTCCCTCAAAATTTAATTATCAGTCTATTTTCTTTTTAAGTGTGGAAGAGATGTCTCATCAAATATCCTTCTTGAAAATTGTCAACAAATCATTCTGCCTCATTTTCAACTGTAATTCAATTACTTCAGACTATATCACAGCATACTATCAATCTCTATGTCAACAAGGCGAAGTCTTATAGTGTGCAGAAAGATTGACAAAAATCTTCATAAAAAGCTGTATATCCTGAAATCACTTTTCAACCAATCATTTTGCTTCGAAGTTTCTAGACGAAACACGTGACTCTATGTGTAAATATCAGATTCGTTGAAGAGATGAAAAATCAATAGAATTTAAATTTAGAAAAGCCTTGAAAATAGCCAAGGTCATTGTAATATATAAACTTTGTATTTTGTACATATATTCTTTACGTTGCCACTGACGTTATAAATCTACCTTCTATTCTATTACCGCCTTTTCTATTTACAAAGAAACTGAGTGATCAATAAGGGTGGAATCTGAAGACTTAATCAAGTCAATGTCAAAGATATATAAAAGTGGAGAAGATCAAAAGCACATGGAGACAGAGGAAATACACATAAAAACAGTCATGATTCAAGAAGAAAGTCACAAATTTATCAGAAAAAGATTTTAAAAAATATATGGTAACAAGATGTTTGGACTTCAGAAGAAGTAAATCAAATAAACTGAATGATACAACTGTGTGCGTACAATCAAGTGATAGTAACCTGCCACGAATTCACATAGTCATGATCATCGAGGTGAAATAAAAATTAGGTTAGCAGTCGGACTTTGTAGCTCAGTCGGTAAAGTGTCTGACTGTAAACCCGGTGGTTACTGGTTCGAATCCGACCCTGGTTTACACTTTCATCTCACCTTCAATCATTACACAATATCAGTAATACTAGTCTGCTAAATTACAGCTATCTCAGATAGTTAAAATGATAAGGAATATGATGTTCCCCTTACCCCGGAATTCAGTTAGATTTGGATTAAGATGAGAAGTCCCGACTACCGGCAGCCAGTGTGAGTACAATCAAGTGATGGTAACGCGTCACGAATTCACACAGTATTATTATTATTACTATTATTTATCCCTAGGGTTCCTAGTGGAACATACACATTCAGTAGAACGTCTCAATTCCACCCTCTTCTCTACAATCTTTCCAACCTACCCCCACAACAGCCAACATGCTCTCATTTCTCACTCACACCATCTCATCAATGTCAACCTCACCTCCAACACACAAATCGTCAATTACCATCTGCCTTCCACTCGAGTGTCTCGACTGGCGCGTGATGTCCCCCAATGCTCTTCTCAGTGTATACCCAATCCATCTCTACTTCCTTCCACTGCATATTTGTTCACAGATAGCTTCTTGCTTCATTGGTTCGTTACCAGCCAGTCAGAGTTCCTCCCTGCTTATTCTTATTATTCTCGCCATCTGATCTCCATCTTCAGTATGGAGGCAGTGTGGGCAGTTGTTGATGAATGTGTGTAGTTTGATGGAAATGCCTTTGGTAACGCGCCAAGTCTCTCAACCATATGGGGTGACTGACTTGACGTTGGTGTTTGAAATCGGGATGTTGTTGAGGCTTAGTGCTGAGTGTAGTGGAGTGCAGAAGATCTGCACACTGGTTTCAGGCTAATGAAGGATGGCCTGTCTTTCTGTCTTTCGGATACTGGCTGGCGTTGACGTCGTCATCCTCGTGTGTGCCTGTGGGTGGTCATACACTACGTCGATCAATGGAAAGAGTCCAGAAGATTTAGATTTCACCGCCGATGACTTGTATCTAATGTCACACAAACTCGAAAATCTACAGTCAAAAACCAACAAGTTGATAGAAGAGGCAGCGAAACGAAGACACGACTTCAACTGAATATAAAGAAGTCAGAGGTGATGATGATATCCGACAAACGCCACCACCACCAACAACAACAACAAGCTCCAATCACCATCAAGGGGAGAAACTGAAAGGAAGTAGCCTCTCTCACCCACCCTCCTATGCAGCACCGTCTCAACTACAGGCAGCACAGGCACACACGAGAACGACGACGTCAACGCCAGCCAGTATCCGAAAGACAGAAAGACAGGCCATCCTTCATTAGCCTGAAACCAGTGTGCAGATCTTCTGCACTCCACTACACTCAGCACTAAGCCTCAACAACATCCCGATTTCAAACACCAACGTCAAGTCAGTCACCCCATATGGTTGAGAGACTTGGCGCGTTACCAAAGGCATTTCCATCAAACTACACACATTCATCAACAACTGCCCACACTGCCTCCATACTGAAGATGGAGATCAGATGGCGAGAATAATAAGAATAAGCAGGGAGGAACTCTGACTGGCTGGTAACGAACCAATGAAGCAAGAAGCTATCTGTGAACAAATATGCAGTGGAAGGAAGTAGAGATGGATTGGGTATACACTGAGAAGAGCATTGGGGGACATCACGCGCCAGTCGAGACACTCGAGTGGAAGGTAGATGGTAATTGACGATTTTGGTGTTGGAGGTGAGGGTGACATTGATGAGATGGTGTGAGTGAGAAATGAGAGCATGTTGGCTGTTGTGGGGTAGGTTGGAAAGATTGTAGAGAAGAGGGTGGAATTGAGACGTGCTACTGAATGTGTATGTTTCACTAGGAACTCACGGGACAAATAATAATAATAGATGGAGTTATCAGCCAATTGTGATATGGATTATGCCAACAAATATTATGATACAATTGTATGCGATATACTACTAATTAATATAAGTAGTCGTAAACGAATAACGCTGGTAACTGTTACTCACTACACACCAATTTTATTCATTCTGAATTAAACAAACTTATCATTCACGTTTACATAAACCAGCATAATGACTGAAAAAATTAGCCCTCCGAAAAAAGATCAGATAGTCGATGTCATCTAGAGTGGATAGTGACTAACAGTGAAATCGAGAATGCTTTAAGTATTCATTGTTCATTGGTGAGTATGAACAGTAAAGGGTACATTCATTTGTAGAGTTTACTCACTTAATTTTACATCACTTAAGGTGATATATTGATTTTTTTTATCATATAGATAACTGATTGCCAAATGAATATGTATAGATGCCGCAGGTAATTGGAAACCGTGTTAACGATAGGGTTCGAACCATCCAGCCAGGTCATGAAATTGAATTGTGAACTGAATTTCTTTACCACTGCAAACATCAAGTATGTCACCAGGATTTCGTTATGCTTGAGTAATCTACAATCAGTTACTGATTATCATAGTTAAGCTGAGTTAAATTCAAAGAGTATAACGACTGAGTACATATTCGACAATGTTAAACAGCTACATCCAGCTGACGAGTCCCATATAGGACGGAACCCACATCCTGGATTCTTTTGCTAGTTACCAAGATCAATGCAACATCATGAGTATTCAGCAGTATTGAGACATCCGGATAGGAGCTAATCTACCAATAGAGGTCGAGTAATTCGACCCTCTATAACAAGGGATAATTAACTATAAGTATCATAACAACAACTGATGTCCGTTACACAAGAGATAACTATCCTACCCATCGCTTCAAACGCCAAGGGGTCATCTACTGTGCCACGGAGGCATGATAGCCACTTCTTTTACAACTGGTATTAATTACTACTATTTAGTGATATACTTGTAATTGTCCATTGTTTTATCGGATCGAACTGTTTACCGTGTCATTTGAAGCGATGGGTACTGGGTTTGAGTCTGTCCAAGGGAACAACATCACTCCAGACTAGAATGAAGTTACATCCAGGTGACGAGTCCCATATAGGACGAAACCCACTTCCTAGATTCCTCTGCTAGTCATCAAGACCAATATAAAGCATACTACAGACTAAATTCACAACAATAACAACGAAAAAAATGATATATTTGTGCTGGTCTATGAGTTTTTTGTGCATACACATGTAGACATTTTTGTACACGTGCATCAACTAACCTTTCCTGGATCTGCATCATGTTGTACAGAGATCTATAATGCGAAATTTTTAAAACGAAAATCATTTAAACATAAATTTCTGCGTAGTTCTTAGCAAATATCTGACAGGAGGCAAGTAATAAGCTGCATGATACTGTTGGATGAATCATAAGACAGACCAATAGTTGAAAGTTTTCGAGGGAATAACTATCAACCAATCAAACAGCGTAGAATTATTCCCTGAATAGATGAGTTTTAATAAGAAACTACGTCTTCAATAGAACTGGGAGAAAGGGAGTGGTTGACACTTGGACATTGTCCCATTGGACATCTGCTTGAAACCTATGACACACAGCCTTCTGAGGATTGTTGGTATGTGACTTGATTGTTCTAACATCGGAGTGAGATCGTCCATTCCGTTGGTACCAGAAGACTCTGGAGCAAGAAGGAGTGTGCTGTTTTTTACGAAAAACATTTTCCAACCCTCGCTTTCCATTGAGACGGCAGCGACAGCCTGACAATGCTTTCACACCCTACCCAGCCGGCAGTACGATATCAACCTTGAATCTTCGTCTTACTGCTATCCAACAGACTTTTCTGGCATGGTGGGATCCTGAGGAAACAAACATACCAACCAGGGTAACCCATTGAGTCATTGCGATATACAAGCTCAATCACCAAGTCAGGGTACTAGCTATCAGTCGGAATATGAAAGTGAAGGGCACCCGGGTTAAAATCTTCAATCGAAAATAAACCGGGAAGTCCTTGATGACAGAGAATAGTAGTTGTAGTCAAACCATCTCTATGGTGATCAATAACGCTTTCCAGATCCTCTAGAGAAGCTCGAAAACTGATCAAAACATTCCAGAATGTCGTGAAAAGACAGGTGACCAAACGTATGAGTATCAGATTAGTTGAAGTGACTGAAATCAACAACGACTCCCCAAGTGAGAAGAGAATACCCGAGGCATACACACTGGATGAGATAATGTTGATGAAAACTACTTCTTTTTACCAATTATTAATATGGTGTAGTATAAGGGTTTTTATATGATACCGTCGTTGATCAGACCGAATTGATCGGTCTCTGTTAGCATATGGGCTCCTGTGCGGATGCCTCGATATTGCCAACAGTCTAATCGTGTTAAAGATGGATCGTGGCTAGCAGTGGAATCCAGGATGCGCACTTCGTCCTATTTGGGATGGTGGTGTAGTGGATAACGCGCTGGCACTTGAAGCGATCGCTCCCCAGTCTGAATCCCGGTGGGAACGATATCACTCACTGGGAAGCAGGTACATCCAGCTGACGAGTCCCAAACACGACGAAATGCGCATGCTGAATTCCACTGCTAGCCACGATTCACCCTTAATATTAATATGGTGGTTGGCATTTTGTGATATTTTATCCTTTCAACTATCAGATCAATATCCAACTTGATCTCTCTGTAAGTATGACTTACTGACTATCAGATGATTATCTGAAATATCCAATCACCAATCAAGCTGAAGTGACTGAGTGAATAGGCTAACAATACTAACCCAATGACACGCTTGGATGCAAATTGTGACTGTTCTCCCTCAGTACTTTATACTTCTCTGTGTCAAGAAAATGTCAGAAGGCAAAACACTGGCTTCTGACTGGACGACAGGCACTTTATTCAACAAAGATATATTATATATATATATATATATATATATATATATATATATATATATATATATATATATATATAGTTGTTCTCATTAACATATAAAACTCCTGGAGGTCAAAAGTTGAATCGCTTCTTCTGATTGGTTGACAGTAAGACAAAGTTGTCCAATAAGATTTCTCCTGACCATACAGGGAAAAGAAATGACAACTGAAATACAAAGACTTCTATCTTAGTGGGTGATGACTTAAAATGTTGATTTCCATTTACGCCACCTTTTACCATAGGCGAACCAAAATGTCAGTACTTTATTGATCGAGTAAATTGTACAGAACATGTACGATTGTTGAAGAAATACCACAATAAGACAAGTTATTTAATGCATACACCCTTGTGTTTCCGTGTATATATGTGTGTGTGTTGGAGAGAGGGAGAGAGAGAGAGAGAGAAAGAGAAAGAGATCTAAGTCATTTGTTCACTTCAAACAAAATTGATTAGTTTAACAACAGCAAACTATTACAAAAAGTAAGTAAATTCTGACATGGACGTTTTGGCGCTAAATTGCATCCTAAGAGTCAATTAATCAATAACAACACTATGCTAATATGCAAATATAGGACTATTTCGCCCTACAACACTCATTCCTCACTTTAAGAGTAAATGGTTTTCGAAGAAATACATCAACACAAGGATAATATCAGAATAAGACAATATCTATGGGGTAAAATCGAAAATTCATATTGTCCTTGAACTGACCAATCAGATGTAAGTGGATTATTTATTAATTTATGGTAGTAGAAAGTTTTGGAAATTCTCACTGCTCATATAATGCGTAAATGAATGCAGAATTCCATGAGATTGACTGTTGTTTCAACGAAATATGGGAAGTCTTCTGGTGGCCAGGAAGATATGCTTGTAGATATTGTTTATCAGAAGTTCGCAGTTAAACATTACAGTCTAACAGAGTGATATAAAGAATTAAGGTTTACTAATTAGAAGTTAAGTGGTAAAATATGAAAAAAAAAACAAGGGTGGAGATATGATTTTTCAGCGCCACAGCAGAATAAAAGACTCTTAGTTTACAAGTCGTGAATTCTTTAATGCAAAGATGAATACAAACCTGATTTCCGTATTTTAACATCTGAGTTCGCCAATAATATCCAATGAGCATTTTGATTGGTCCAATAGTATAATAAGCAGCTCAAGGTCATCTCACCAACTCGTTCAAGGATTGGATAACTTTTCACTCTTACCAAATTGGCTGGACTGGTGTGTGATTTTAAACGCCATCCTAACAATTGAGACGACCAATCACGTCTCTTTATGTTATGAAAAACTACCTCTCCAGTATAAATACCAAATCCTGACTGGTTATTTCAGTAGTAGTTTAGGTGGTCTTTAGGGTCACAGATATCTTCACAAATCACCAGTGATTGTAAAAGCTTATCGTCTATTGATTTTGTCACATCAGCCAGTCTGATACTCACATATTTAGTCACCTGTCTTTCCTCGACATTCTAGAAAGTTGTGATCAGTTTCCCAGCCACTATAGGTGGTGTGATGGTGTGACCACAACCACTTCTTGTCATCAGATACCTTTTATTGAAGATTTCAACCCGGGTTTCGTTCATTTTCATATTCTGACTGATAGGTGGAACCCTGACTTGGTGGTCGAGCTTATATATCACTATGATTTGATGGGTTACCCTGTTTGGCATGTATGTTTCCTCGAGACTCTACCATTCCAGAAACTTCTGTTGGATTATTATAATTATTTGTCCCGTGGGTTCCTAGTGAAACATACACATTCAGTAGAACGTCTCAATTCCACCCTCTTCTCTACAATCTTTCCAACCTACCCCCACAACAGCCAACATGCTCTCATTTCTCACTCACAACATCTCCTCATTGTCACATTCACCTCCAACACCCAAATCGTCAATTACCATCTACCTTCCACTCGAGTGTCTCGACTGGCGCGTGATGTCCCACAATGCTCTTCTCAGTGTATACCCAATCCATCTCTACTTCCTTCCACTGCATATTTGTTCACAGATAACCTCTTGCTTCATTGGTTCGTTACCAGCCAGTCAGAGTTCCTCCCTGCTTATTCTTATTATTCTCGCCATCTGATCTCCATCTTCAGTATGGAGGCAGTGTGGGCAGTTGTTGATGAATGTGTGTAGTTTGATGGAAATGCCTTTGGTAACGCGCCAAGTCTCTCAACCATATGGGGTGACTGACTTGACGTTGGTGTTTGAAATCGGGATGTTGTTGAGGCTTAGTGCTGAGTGTAGTGGAGTGCAGAAGATCTGCACACTGGTTTCAGGCTAATGAAGGATGGCCTGTCTTTCTGTCTTTCGGATACTGGCTGGCGTTGACGTCGTCGTTCTCGTGTGTGCCTGTGCTGCCTGTAGTTGAGACGGTGCTGCATAGGAGGGTGGGTGAGAGAGGCTACTTCCTTTCAGTTTCTCCCCTTGATGGTGATTGGAGCTTGTTGTTGTTGTTGGTGGTGGTGGCGTTTGTCGGATATCATCATCACCTCTGACTTCTTTATATTCAGTTGAAGTCGTGTCTTCGTTTCGCTGCCTCTTCTATCAACTTGTTGGTTTTTGACTGTAGATTTTCGAGTTTGTGTGACATTAGATACAAGTCATCGGCGGTGAAATCTAAATCTTCTGGACTCTTTCCATTGGTCGATCCAGTGTATGACCATCTTCTCGTTCCTCACAGTTGTGTGCCGTCTGATCCAGTGGACCACTTTCAGGAACATCATGGTTGATAATAGACAGCCTTGTTTTACTCGTGTCTTCACTTCAATTCGAAAGCATCACTGAGCTTCCCACTTTGAATGACTTGGTATATGGCGCCTTCATATAGTTTCTGAATGAGACTGATAAACTTTTGTGGTATTCCGTAGCGTTGAAGCAGCTGCCTGCCAAACTGCTCGCTGGTCGACAGTGTCAAATGCCTTTTCGAAGTCGACGAATTTCAGGTGGAGGTTAGAATGTTGGATTATAGTGAAATCAAAAGCGGCTACGCTTTTAGTGTTTGAAACGGTCATTAACGGGTCTTCAGAAAGCTGGCAAACGTCAATTACAAAAGGATATTTTAAAAGAGGTTTCTGAGCGAATTATCTCTAAAGAATAAGTAAAATAAGTGGCCGAAATATAACTTGACAGGACGTTGTATGTCTCTTGTTCGAGTTCGTTGTAGAAAATAAGTCATATATATGTCATACCTCATGGGACTGTTCGAAGCAAGACGGAAATGAAGTTTGATAAGGATCTGGTCTTCATCAGAGAGAAAACCTCAAGTGCAGGAATAGCCTAAAGCAGTATTTCTCTAGGTGGTCATTATAAGAAGGTAAAAACTGATTGGACCGCCAGCGTTGATCAATATGTCTGTTGAATCAACACCGAAAGGACACAATAGGAATACCTTAGCATCTCTTCTAGATATATAGAGGATTCTACTTCGCATATAAAAGAAGGAAAAGTGAGGATTTGGATTGTAGAAATCATGTCTGAAAGTTGTACAGTTACTTTGACATGAATATGAACGATTAATTGTGTCCAGAAAGCTATTCAGTAAACAACAAACTTTCACTGCACGACATATGAAATTATAATCTACAACTGTACTCAAATTTGATTCCAATGGTAAGGTCTGCCTGTCTGCCTGTCAGTTTATCCATCTATCTGCCTACTACTTTCTTTGATGACTCAATCTTTGTTAAGTGTTTTTTGGTGTAGTCATTTTCAAAGCTTGTAGCAGTTTTACTAGTATACCAATGAATTTTGAAGGATATTTACCACATTTCTGATTGGTCTACTCAAGGTCACACTTAGAATGGCTTACGCTAACTATGGAAATGTGTGATTTGAAAGCCGAACTAACAATCACTAAATAACCAATCAGGTTTTATGATTTAAGCGAGAAAGGGTTTTTTTTGCTTGAAATCTGATTGGTTGTTTTGTTAGTTCATAAGATGGTTATCATAGTCAACCATAATAATAAATTTGAACTGATTTTTCCAGGTGTCATGGTGTTAAATACTTTTTTTTCGCACTCACAGAACATTTCAGCATTGAAATTAGTATTCTGAATGGTTGGAATTTCAGTTTTGTCGAAGGAACAATACTATTTTGCCATTTTTCCTTTTGGATATCATAAGAATGAACATATGAGCATCTCATAGGTTAACTATGTTTTCATTAGTTATTTTCTAACGCCATACCTTTATTTTTGGTATTCAATGATATCTTTGGCGATGAACTCACCAAAGATGTAGCTTGATGAATCCAGCTCATATAGCCGAAGTATTTACGTTCCCTGTTACCAGCTGCTTGTTTGACTGGTAATACACAGACTTTGGACAAGGCGATGTAACTGTTAACTTCGATCACATTTCTCTTTGAGGATCAGAATTTTCCTACTGTAAATTGTGACCAATTCTGTAGCAAAAATACTGCCAAGGAAGGGAGCAGGGGAACTTGTCAGTGTATACTACTAGCTGATATAAGTAGTTAGAAGCAACTTTCACTGTATGCTAGTGGTTCAAAGTGATATAAAGATTAGATAACTACTTCTGTAGTACAGCAAAGTAAGAAAAGTATTCTTTACAAACTACTTTGTTTTAAAGGAGAATTTTTCCATGAAGGTCTGACAACTATCTGTGTGCCATTTTTTCTCTATAAAACTATTTACTACTAATGAGTAGCTAAATAAATAACTCAAAAAGTGGAGTGTCTATTATCTACATTTAAATGAGAAACAGCTAACTTACTTCAAGTTGTTCAATTCGATTGACTACAGAGTCGAATCCAGAAGCTACATTTCCAAGTTTTCTTAGCGTTGACGATAAATCTGGATCTGGACATTCAAGCTAAATTGAAAGTATTAAGAAATCTCAGGAATAATATAAAATTGTGATATCATAACTACTCAAGTGACTAGGTGTTGTTTTGATGGTCAGATAAGATTAAATCAATGGGATATCATTGTTGTTAATTATTAAGTGGTGGCTACCAGTGGAAACGAAGACATACGTTTCTGTCTATTTAGGACTCGTCAGTTGGATATACGTGCATATCTGAGGGTGATACTAGTTGGACAAAAAGAAGCGTGTTGTGCTTCAGTGGCCTGTTGCATAGCGAGAAGGCGTTTGAAGAGATGGGTGTAGAGTTTGAGTCGTCATGTAAACATCATAACTCCATGGAATCATGAAAATGAGATTAATTCACCTGGAAAGCTTATCTCGAAACTGTTCGGAAAGCGATTACAACAAGAAATCGACTGATAACTCTGTATAAAATAGTTTTTTTAGCTCTAAAGCCCTCGTACACCTTACATGTACACTTTGCTTAGGGTACATGGCCACCAAAAATTATCTGCATGCATTTATTAGATGACGCAAGACTCATTGAGGTAAATTACACAAGTCCTATATGTTCTTTGACTCAGTCTTGTACTTTATAAGGTGATCTGAATATCACCATCTACTAAATATGTAGCTCAAATTCCTGATTTTATCGTTTAAATGTTACGTTTGGTTTCAATTCGATAATGTTTTATACCAATTATTCAGCAGTTTAATTATTGGTACTTCTTTGAGTTTAGTATAAACGTCTATAACTTCATAGCTAACTTAGGGAGTTACATCAGTTTGAACAGACGGGTTACTGAAGAAATGTCAGCTTGAATACTGAGGGTTGATTTGAAGTTAGCTAGATTACGTCATTTCTGGCACCGACTGGCAAGACACTCACCTCTGTATTAAAGGACAGTTACACTTTTGTGCAGGTTGTCGTATCCTCATATGTGACTGCAAGATATGACCGTAAAAAGGAAAAGATATAGGGAGACCGAAGGTTCCGGAATATGGGTGTCTTTACATCATTGTCGACGTCTAATGGGATGACCAAGAGAGCAATGTACAGGTTAAGTGAAGGCTAAAAGATAGAGAAGGTAAATCGGACAATGAGATAGTGAACTTTCACCAAACGAGATGGCTTAAACATGTCCTGTGCATACCAAGCCACCGCCTACCGCGAGGTACAAACTTGGAGAGGTTAGATTACATTGGAAAAGGGTTCAACATAACAAGACCAAGACGTGACGCTAGTTCACGAAACCCCTGACTGCTGGTCTCAGTCATGTACAGAGGGAGGTGCATTCTACCTGGCTGAGGTCTTCGAGACGATAGGAATCAGTGATTGAGGATTCTTGATAAAATGGCTGAAAATGGGTCACAATTGTGCTGATGTTTTCACTCTTTGACGTCTTCTAAAGCGTGAATATTCTTATTTACATCCATTTTCATAAGTGTGGGAATCTGAAGGGATACACTTTTGTACGAGATTCTATACCAGTAGCTGAGTACATGGGCCGTACCATGCGTCCGTTTGTGAAACGTGTCCACAAACACTACCCAGCCTGGGTGGCTGAAAAAGGGAGAACGGAAATGTATCTTTAGTTCAATAACACAACACCTTGTGAACTCAGGCCATTTAGCTCCTTTCGAAAGCTCATTCAAAATCCTCTACATGGTTAGATTTAACAACTCGAAGAGATGAATGAGGATTTTTAATTTAGAAATAGTATTCATCATGGACTGACATCAGTTGGGGAACCACTGAAAGTCTGGGAGCACTGAACAGCTATTTCGTCCTAGTATGGAACCCCTCAGCAGTACGCACCCACAACCCGCCTAGGGGTCAAACTCAGGACCTCCAGGTTTCGCGACGAACACGTTAACCATTCAGCCACTGGGTTGGTTTCCCAGATTTTCAATGGTTCCCCGACTGATGTCTGTTCATGATGAATACTACTTCTTAATTAAAAATCCCCATTCATATCAAAAATACATTATTGTATATTGCTCATTAGTAACTTGCTTCCAGATGGATATCGGGAAGCTCTAATGAGAAGCCATGACCTGTAGGATCAACCAGTCGGAAGTGAAGTGGATGCTAACTGAAGACCTTGGGCGATAGTCGTGCTATGTCGTGAATTGACAGAAGTTGGAAATTGTGAACCACTGAGGACCGACCCATTTGCGGAATGGTCAACGCGTTCACCGTGAGACCTGGGGGCTTTGGGTTCGACCCCCAGCCGGGTCGTGGATGCGTACTCCCGAGGTGTCACGTGCTAGGACGTAACAGCCGTCCAGTGTTCCCAGATTTTCAATGAAGAGAGAAAGATCAAGGTATTTGTCTATACCTGAAGCACTAGTTATCCAGAGGTTCAAACCAGCGCTATGCATCTAAGAAATGGATGTTCAGCCTTTATCTTTGCCACATCCATCATAAAGCTTTGACTGTCATAGATTCATCCTGTATCAGGTAACATGCATCTTCATAATCCCTTGTTCATTTTCTCACTCTAAACCTAAATGTGTAATGATTAACTGCCTTTAGTTATTTAATATATTTTGCCCCTTAAGCGGAAATAATTCTGAAACGTTCTGTCCACTGTAACATTTCTTCGTGAATGTACAGCTTAGCAGTAAATGAACAATAGCTAAAATACTATTTTATACAGCTAAGAGAATATACAATGATTGGTGAATGTTGAGAAAATAATTTCATATTGTCTAGTACTGATCAAATATGAGCCGCCTAGCTTGGTGGTTCCACCGCAAAATGACCAATAGAAATCGGTCAGCATTGAGGAGTAGACAACATCGACACTGGTAGGTCTTCATTGACCAATCAGTGTATAGAATCCAGTCGAAAAGGAAGTCAGTCACGACATGAATAGCTCACTGATAACTGCAGTAACTACAACATTGAGTGAAGTGAGCTCGAAGACAAAGACAAATGGACAAATGTTTTCCAGCTTTTTATACGAATGGTGTATTTAAGTGTCTAAAGTCCTTGAATCTATCCCAAAGCTTAGGTCCTCATGGTGTTTCTAGTATTATATTTGAACAGTATGAAGATATTTTATGTCATCCCCTTACAGATATCTTTAATGCATCGTTTTCTAAAAACGGAATACTCCGCTTCTTGGAAGGAGATCAAAATTGTATTTGTGCCTAAGTCATCTTCTGGATCAGATGTTACTTTTTGACCCATCGCTATAACTTCCACTTTTCTGAGGATACTGGAGAAATTACTTGTACTTGTGTCTGAGCCTTCATTGGTGGTTATCATAGATCCAAAACAATTTGCTTATAAACACAGGTGAAGTATTTTGAATACTGCCACTGTCATGCATCATAATATTGTTTGTAAGTCCAGACAAAGGCGTTAAGTATATTGGTTGCGCCTTCCTGGATTACTCATCAGTCTTTGACTCTGTACCTAGACCATTCTGGTTAAACAAAGTTCCCAAATGGGACGAAATACGCATTCTGGTTTCTTCCGGTAGCCATAACCAAGTGAATAAGCATATAACCACCATTTTATATGTAACCTCCCTTCGTGAAGGATTGAAGTATTTCAATATGATATATACAGTTGTACAGGTTGAGAATAAATTTGTTGTAAACAGTCCTGTACTCTTCAATGAAAACTAACAAGTTGACAGAAGAGGCAGGGCAGCGAAGACTGGACTTCAAGTGAATATAGAGAAGACAGATGTGATGATGATACCCAGCCAACAACAACAACAAACTCCAATCACCACCAAGGGGGAGAAACTTAAAGGAAGTAACCTCCTTCACCTATCTAGGAAGCACTGTTTTGAACTACAGGCGGCACAGACGAGGATGTCAAAACTAGTCAGAATCGGAAAACCAACACAGGCGTTCATTAGCCTGAAACCAGTGTGGAAATCTTCTGCACTGCACTCAGCACAAAGCGTCAACAACATCCCGATTTGAACACCAACGTGAAGTCAGTGAGATATTCATCAACAACTACCTACGCTGGCTCGCTACTGAAGATCAGATGGATTGCCAGAATAATAAGAATAAGCAACAAGGAACTCTGGGAACAAACCAACCAAGAAGCTGTCATCTAACAAATATGTAGTGGAAGGAAGTGGAGATGGATTGGGCATGCACTGAGAAGGCCGACTGGTGACATCACGCGTCAGGCAAGGTACTCGAGTGGAATCTCCATGGGAAACGTAGAGTTGGACGTCCCAGCTGAGGGTGACATGGAGGAGATGGTGCGAGGGCGAAATGAGAGCTTGTGGACAGTCGTGGAGCCAGGTTGAAAAGATTTCAGAGAACAGAGTTCACTGGAGATGTGCTAGTGAAGCGGTGTGTTCTATTAGGAACCCAAGGGACTAATAATTATAATAATATAACACTTCAATGAATATCATGTTATTTGATGTCATAATAGAAATTATACATGTATATAAACAATACACCAACCGAGTTACATTCTAATAATCAATCACCTTGCTTACATCAAAACAAAAAAATACCATAAAAATGTCAAACAATAGTGTTAATAATAATAATAATAATAGTAATGGTAGTAGTAGTCATAATAATAAAACTTTTAGAAAATGATTAAGAAACAAAATAACACAGCATAAACACATTCTTTAGACAAATACGAAAGACTGAAAACCGAATACCACATCATTAATCATTCCTTTTGACAGTATGTACATATGTAATATATCATGTTTGTAACTTCAATTTTATTTGATTACCCCCCTCCCCTTTTTTTATCTGACAAAACAGAGAGACAAATGGATAATCTTAACTTGTATTTTCGAAAAGTTTTAAAAGGTCTCTTAGCAGTCAACATTTCTAATTGTTGTCTATTTTGTAGATCAACTTTGAAGAAAAAGGAAAATATTATCACTTCAAAATGATGCAGTTTCTATCGGTTGTCTTGAGATGAATAGGTCAGAGAAGAAATTCAACTATACATATATATATATATATATATATATATATATATATATATATATATATATATCATGCATAAACTTGAAGATCTACAGGCGAAAACGAACAAATTAGCAGAAGACAACACTTCCATCGGGTGAACGCAAGGACGATGGAGGTGATGCAGAAATCCAACCAACAGAAGCATCAACAATAAACACTAATCACCATCAAGGGGAGAAACTGAAAGGAAATAGCCTCCTTCACCCACCCTCTTAGCCAGTACCGTTTCAACTACAGGCCGCACAAGCACACACGAGGACGACGACGTCAACGCCAGCCAGCATCGGAAAGACAGAAAGACAGGCCATCCTTCATTAGCCTGAAACCAGTATGGAGATCTTCTGCACTACACTACACTCAGCACAAAGAGTCAACAACATCCGGATTTTCAACACCAACGTCAGTCAAGTCAGTGCTCCTACATGGTTGAGAGACTTGGCGCGTTACCAAAGGCATTTCCAACAAACTACACACATTCATCAACAACTGCTGCCTACACTGCCTCCATACTGAAGATGGAGATCAGATGGCGAGAATAATAAGAATAAGCAGGGAGGAACTCTGACTGGCTGGTAACGAACCAATGAAGCAAGAAGCTATCTGTGAACAAATATGCAGTGGAAGGAAGTAGAGATGGATTGGGTATACACTGAGAAGGCAGACTGGGACATCACGCGCCACACCAGATGGTAATTGACGATTTTGGTGTCGGAGGTGAGGGTGACATGGAGGAGATCGTGTGAGTAAGAAATGAGTGGCTGTGAGCTGTCGTGGTGACGGGTTGAAAAGATTATAGAGAAGAGGGTGGAACTGAGACGTGCTACTCAATCCGCATGTTCCATTAGGAACCTAAGGGAAAAATAATCAATATAATACAAAACTGCAGGGTCTAACATGTAACCACTATTTATCTGAAGAATCGTGGTTTATAATGATTTTGAAGTGGAAAAATTTATTCCATAGACAACGATATGTATAAATAGAATGCTAAACTTACAAATTCATCTGGTAAACACTTCATAAGTAGATTCGATTCATCAATTATCCTTGAATCAACATTGACATTATGAATTTTATTATTCACTTGTGAATATGCAGTAAGATAATCAATTCCAGTGATTGATTTTCCTAATGTATGCCAAAAGACTAGACCACGTAAAGCATCCATATGTACTACATTCTGTAAGAGATTGGCTTCTTGATTCTAAAAATTAACAGTACAGCAGTAAACCGATTGAAAGTTACAACTAAGCAACTTCATTGAAAATCAATTTTGCAATATTCATCATAATACACTAAAATTCTAGATGAGGTTAAGATATTCAGCTTCTCAATTCCTGATAGTAAGCTTTCTACATGACAACTATAACTCATAGTATATTCAAGAAACCTTTAAGATAGATGTTCAACTGTTCAGTTAATTGAAGTATCCCAGCAAATTTTACGATTAAAAATGATGTATAGTTAAAAATCCCTACATATAACTTCAACAGTTAACTAACTGTAACACCAAATACTTATCCAAGTTGCCCAGTGATTATTTCATCAGTGTATCTCGAGGTATTCAGCGATGGTTAGAACCTGTAGATTAATATTCTGTCGATATCTGTTACGATGGATGAAATCTACTAATCAACATGAAAGATTGCCTAGTAATTGTATTATTCAGTAGGATATCTCATCTACCCGTGAAACATTTTTATCAGAGATGATAATCTGTGATGTTGATTACACAAATTCCGACAGAAACCCTGTTGAAATCACTTCTACGCAATAGTTGTAACAAATATCTTGACGTAATTTTCAAATCAAACGATTAATTTTTGTGCTTTTTCTTAAACTACTGACCCAATTTAAGTAGTTAAAACATTAAATTAAAGTTTATCTGGAAAGTAATTTGGGAATGTTCCTCGAATTCTTCAGGTCCTATAGTAATTTATGCATGGTAAGGAATTACACATCACCAGCGCTGAGATTTCGCTTATCAGCCTGTCAATAACATTTAGTATACAGCCAAGAAAGCCAGTTCAATTGTGTGTGAACCTTAATGATAGAAGTCAATTGTTACTGGGATTAAATTCAGCAAAACAGTTGATTATCAGAACGGGAATACGGTGTACGTAGTGCCATAAGGTGATAATTTTATTAAACGAGACCCCGCATGAAATAAACTTAGATAGGTGAGTTAAGGAATAATAGCTTGATAAAATGTTACTCATTTTGGGAGAAACAAGAGTTGAATAGACTGTGACCAAATGACTTCATATTATTGAGATGAATAGATGTCTACAGTATCGAACTTGTAAACTAGGTTACAAGGATACATTTTGAACCGAGCTATACTGGTTGTAACGGCGATGTTTGCTTCTTTTCAACACACAACTCCAGTTATTTGATCCTAGTTGCTGTTGTTTCTTTAGTTTGAAGGATCCTGAACCGAGTAACTTTTGGCAAGTTGATGGGAACCCAGTAGACAATGGGAGATTGTGATTCAGTTCAACGAAGTGTGTTAATAAAAAGCTGTTTATGGTCTTTACCATGTTTTTATTCAATCATTCTCGAAGGTATTCGTGAGCATGGAGAAGTAAATTCCTACAGTAGTGGCTGATGTAACTGGTTTAACAGGAGTTGTCGAAGCGGAAAACACACAACAGGAAGTGAATTGTCTTGGCAATTCATCGTTCAGTCTTGATGTCTACACTAAGCCTGTTAAGAAGACAATTTGTAACTTACTAGCATTAAAACAACTCTGGGTTGCACTCTACGGTTTGTGAACTAATAATATCTCACTAAGCCTATCACCTCTGGATCGTACCCCAATGTATAAAAGTTTCCAGCTAGGTATTGAAATATCCTTTCTTATCGTCTTTGTAATCATATATCTCTTGATGAATTTATCAAGACAGCGATTTTCTTTTAGTGTCTTCCAAACATATAGCCTTTGATACTTGGTGATGATTGAAGGTGAAATGTAAATTTGGACCACAGCTAGATTTGAACCAGCGATCGCCTGTATTCTCTAACTTCTAGCTTCTACTACATTTCCTTTGTACTGATGCCTAGTTAATATGAAATTGGTTCATATTACCTTTTTAAACCGCAAACATGAAACTGATCAGCTTGAAGTGATTACCTGACGTTTTTCAATTTCCCCAAGTTTACGAGTCAATTCAGCCAATTGATCCTTTAACGAAGAATTGATAAGCGCCTAATTTGAATGTACAATAAACACATAAAGAAAGACACATAGAAACATAATAAACCATAAGTATCACATCAAAAAAATATACTACACTCAGCATAAAGCATGAACATGATCCCGATTTTCAACACCAATGCCAGTCAAGTCAGTGCTTCTATATCGTTCAGAAAGTTGGCGAGTCACCAAAGACACTTAGTATAAAGTACAGATATTCATCAACAACTGCCACCTACGCTCACTCCATACTGAAGACGGCAATCAGATGGCCAAAATAATAAGAATAGGCAACAAGGAACTCGCTGTGGGAAAGAACCAACCAAGAATCCATCGCTCAACACATATACAGTGGAAGAAAGTGGAGATGGATTAGATTGAGCATACACTGAGAAGGCCATTTGAAGACATCACACAGCAGGCCAGTTCGTCGAGTGGAATTCAAAGGGAAAACGACCAGTTGGGCATTCTAGTCGAGGGTGACATGGAGGAGGTTGTATGAGGAAGAAATGAAAGCTTGTTGGCAATTGTGGAACCAAGTTGTGCTACTGAATCCCTATGTTTCACTAGGAATCTAAGGGATAAATAATAATCGTGAATAACAATCATATCGAAACAGGAAAATTACCAACTAAAATTTTTGTTTATTATGATCAAACGGCAGAATCATAACATGCAGGAACTACTTTAAACTTCAGTAATATATTCTTCTGATGACATTAAAAAGTGATCAGTTTTATTTAAGTTAACAAAAGGGAAACAAGATTATGTTTATAGCAAAACTGATAAGATAATTATGAGTATCCTTTTTCACATTATCTATTTTCTCATCTACTGACTGCTCACTTAATAAACTATGTTTCACACTGCCATAGTTACAACCTAATTCATTAAAATGTATACAATTTTAAAGGTTGATGAACACATTATTACCAGTATAACATTACACGGAAATTTTTATCCGACTCCATAAAACCCTATTTATGCTTTTGATATGAAAAAATATATTGCAACATTCAGAAAATTATTCACTTGACTAGGTTTTGCTGGAAAAAAAAATTATTTTTTGAATAATTCTCATCATTAACAGAGCTGACTATTCGTGTAGGCCAGTTATTTGCCTCCAACCATCTGAAAATGGAATTATATTTCACTATAGATAAACGACCGAATAGGAGGTTAGAAACAAATGGAAAACACTTCTTTGTGGTAAATCACAAAATGTAGAGTAGGTTTAAGGAATAGGTATACCAACTACCGGAAGTAAGTAGGTTAGTTAGCTAGTTAGTAACTTCGCCTAGGTAACTAGTTAACTTGTTACTAGCCGGTCCTAAGCCCGGATAAACAGTGAAGGTTGGTCAACCCTAACCCAGAAAACCAATCCAACCGCTACAGAAACTTCAAAGCACAAAGAACTTATAAAAAAATAAAACCAGACTTATTCCTTACTGAAATCGGGGAGACGAAATGATGCCGGTTAGTGAAAGCCAATTGGCCGATCTGTCTTCTCCTCGATGAATGCGAAAGTAAACATGCGGACATGGAATGTCAGCACTATGTTTGAACCTACTAAGGCTGCCCAGATTGCAAAAGAGATGAGAAGATATGGCATAGAAACGCTTGGAATCTGCGAAGGCAGATGGAATAGAAATGCACTCTCTCAATAATCAATTGGAGAGTCAATAGTCTACTGAGATATTTTCATCTAGACGATAACCACAGGCACACTGAGTTTTGGAGTGGCTATCATGATATCCGCAACAGTATCGAAGGCTCCTTCTCATGCAGCATCAGGATCATGACAGCAAGATTCAACTCAAAAGGAAGGAAAGTCACAATCATGCACTGCTATACTACGCTACGCATCTACAAATAATGCAGATGAAGATAAGAAGGAGGAATTCTACAGACAGCTGCAATCAACACTGGACAAAACCTCAGTTGGCGACACCAATATTCTAATGGGCAATATGAATGCCAAACTGCAGGGAGCGGACAACACAGGAAGAGAACAAACCATGGGTCAAGAGGCGCTCAGTGAAATGAACGAGAATGGAGAATTGTTTGCAGCACCATGTGCATTCAACGATTTGGTGACTAGAGGGACTGTGTTCAAGCACAAGGATATCCAAAAAGCTACATGGATTTGATTTCACCAGGTGGACACACTAAAACCGACCTTAGATCGACTTCATCTCAATGTGAACAAAGTAAAGATGCAGCCTACTTGACACAAAGTCAAGAAGGGGAATAGATGTAGGTTTTTACCACTCACTATCTAGTGCAAGGAACCTACCTTCAAAATCAAGTTGAAAACCTTCGGGGAAGTTGGTGATAGATCACAGTTGAAGTTGAACACTCAGAACACGAAGTGAAGCATGAAACTACAAATGACATCTTCATGTCAGCCATCAGAACAAAATAGGAGACATTGAGCAACATCCCTGAAGGAACCTGTGTGGATGAACACTGGAAGTCTTTGAAAGCTATGTGGCAGGAAACCTACATAACCGTACTAGGAGTGAATAGGAAACAAGACAAGGAATGGATCTCGACAGACACATGGAAGCTGATAGAGCAGGGAGGGGAGGATGGTGAAGCAGAAGATAAACAAGTGCAATGCACTACAAGGATGAACAAGGAAAAGGCAGAACTGAGTACAACGTATAAAACACTACACTGGACAAAGAAGTGAAGAAGAGTGCACGCAAAGACGAAAGACACTTCTACGAAACACTTGCAAGTTAAGCATAACAGGCTACAGGTAGGAGAAACCTGACAACACTATATCAATGCAGTTGCGACCAACAAAAGATAGTGAAGTAAACCTAGTTACCAAAGAGGAGAAACGGAGGAACCAATAAGCTGACCACTTCAAAAAACTCTTGAACTGACCACCACATGCAACTCGTCCAAAAATACCACCGGCAGCTGCAGAATTACCAGCGAACATAAGCCCTCCGACAAAAGTAGGAGTCCTGAACGCCATAAAGCTGCTGTAAGTCGGAAAAGTAGCAGGAGTCGATGGAATTCCTCCAGAAGCACTGAAAATAGACACAGAGACAACAGCGGATGCGCTCACACCACTACTGCAGAATGGTGCGGAATCATGCTGCTGTCCACCCCAAACAAAATATTATGCCGCATCATCCAGGAGAGACTAAAGGATGCTCTGGATTCAAAATCATGACCAGAACTGGCTGGCTGATTGGCTTCAGGAAGAACAAATCATGTGGGAACCAAATTGCAACGCTACGCATCATCAAAGAACAGAGTATATAATGGCAGTCAACTCAACCTCAACTTCATGGATTTTGAAAAGGCCTTTGATAGCGTCGACCTAGAGTTAATTTGGAAAGTACTTCAACACTACGGTTTTAGTGACACAAACCTTGATCAACCTCATTCAACAGATATAGGCTATGAGATGCTATATACCAAGTGACTCACAATGAAACGCTCATTGATGCTTTTGAGGTGAAGACAGGAGTAAGACAAGATTGCCTACTATCACCGATGATCTTTCTGATTGTGGTCGACTAAATGGGATCATACAACAAACTGTGAGGAGCGAGAAGGTGGGCATACACTGACCTAACTGGTGAAAAGACCCCACATGAAGACTTGGATTTCACCGATGATTTGTGTGTAATATCGCTCACAAACTAGAAGATCTACAGGCGAAAACTAACAAGTTGGCAGAAAAGACGAGGCAACGAAGATGGGACTTACTTCAGGTGAGGTGATGAAGATACCAATACAACATTAGCATAAACAACAACAAGCACCAATCACCACCAACTGGAGAAATCTAAACAAAGTTGTCTCTTTCACCTTCGTTCCCAGGCAGCATTGTTTCAATTACAGGCAGCGGCACATGACGACGTCAAACCCAGGATCAGAAAAGCAAGACAAGCATTCATTAACCTGAAATCAGTATTGAGATCTACTGCACTCAGCATAAAGCGTGAACAACATCCAGATTTTCAACACCCATGTCAAGTCAGTGTTTCTTTATAGTTCAAAGACTTAGAGTGTTGAGAAAAGCACTTCCAACAAACTATATACATTCATCAACAGTCGCCTACGCTCACTCTATACTGAAGATGGAGATCAGATGGCCAGAATAATAAGAATAAGCAACAAGGAACTCTGGCTGGCAGTGAACCAACCAAGAATCCATCGACCAACAAATATACAGTGGAAAAAAGTGGAGATGCATTGGGCATACACTGATGAGGCCGATTGAGGACATCACATGTCAGGCCAAGTCAGGCCGTCGAGTGGAATCAAAATGAGAAACACTGAGTTGAGCGTCCCTGGTGAGGGTACCATGGAAGAGATGGTGTTTGTATGTTGTTTTTTTAAAATTATTCCATCATTTGGACTTGGCTTCACTTTTCCAATCTGTTTTTGATGAAGTTTACCCTGGTATCGTTTTATCCTAAATTCTTTTTATTCAATGATTCACATAAATAAATCTCTGTTTGCATTTGGCGCTGTATATACTGAATCGAAACATTGATTATGTAATCAAATGGAAATTATTCTCATTTCAATTAAATATTCATGAGGTGTTCAATGGACAACCAAGAGGAGAAAATAATCATAATCCTTTAACAAACTGATGATTGATGAATTTTTAATAAGGTGCCTAGATATTATTATAACTTCTCGTCTCTAACTACAAGAATTATGAATGTATAGCGTAGACATTTTATGAATAACTCGCTAAATGTAAGAAATCTGAGGTTAACTGATAGTAGACAGTTGACCAAGGTTTCAATCATGAGTGATCTTCTTTAAGGTTAGATGACGTCTTAGAGCAAGTTATCAGTGAGTAACCGACATGACTTCTCAGTGCACATTTTATACCAATAAACTTCAGTATCCCATCACTTGGCTTTTTGATTACACTACAAACTGTGGTGACTACTTAGAACTTGACAACTATTGCTGAGGTAACATTATTGAAAAGGTATACACCCATAACAGTGTGATCAATTTTAACT